CAGAAAAAAGATGGTTTTTCAGCCTTCGAAAATGGAGATAAAACATTTTAATTTGCTATCAGATAAGTACAATTTAAATAATATTTGGGTATATCTTATTGGTAGTTAGATTTTTATTTCAGTTTCTACTAATCAGTATATTATAGCAATACAAGATAAATAGTGGTTTTTTAAGTAACTCCAGGGTATTGAATGAGGTAGAACTGTTTCTGTTTTTTCTTATTTCTAAATTAGCTAGCCTTGAGTGGCGCCCACATTCAGTAAATTAGACAATTTCCTATATTTACTTATAGTGCCTTCCATACAAGATTAAATTCCAAGTTGTCCTATTTTTATTGTTTGTGTTAAAAATTCTTATTTTCTACCTTGTTTATATAATTGTGTCATACCATATATTGGTCTTTTATCCCAAAGCCAATCCTAAATGTAGAAAATCTACCCCGAATTCTCCTATGAGATTTAGTGTCCCTCTGGTTCTTTAAATTTATTTCTCTGAGCTAAGTCATTCTTTATTAGTATATTTAATAACATTACTCCAAATTCTCCTTCTTGTAAATTCTTATTCCTTAATTACAATACCCCAGAGTAGTAGGGTTTCAATCTTTCCAGTTCCCTATATATTCTGTCAAAGAACGTAAGTACAAAGTTAATTATTCCTCGTTCAATAGTCTCATGACTTCTTCATCATACTTAATCATCTTGACCAGCTGCTTTTCCATTCTTCGTTTTTCTCCAAACTCTAATTAATTCTTCTTTAAGTATGTCAGGCTCGTCTAATTCCCTATCTGATTCTTCTATTGGTTGCAGATCACCATGTTTTTTATATTGCTGCTTCTTCCTATCATCTCTATGCTCTATCATCAATTTGTTGCTTTCGTCGATAAGTTTCGCTAGTGTTACATGCTTACATATGCATGTTGTCAAGATTGTAAGTTGTCAGACCGTGGAGTTGAGGTGCCTACATTGTAAAAAATGTCATGCGCCCTTCCCTCCATGCTATGGCATGCTGGACGAGCCATACAGTCTCTAGTCAATACCCCGAGGTATGAGCGGGAACACAAAGTGTATTAATACTCATGCGCTTATGAAACGCACCTGGCGCATCATAAGGGCCTTCACATTTCACTCTTTTTCAACTTGTCTTGAGTGAAATGTCTTTAATCTTTCCTATAGGCCTCTCTTGGCTAACTCTTGTTTCTTCCGACCCCGAATGGCTATTAGGTTTCCGAGGGCAGACGGGTCACTATATTTCCTTCTATTACACACTCTAGGAAGGCAACGGGAAACCACCTAGAGCCTAATTTTCCCAAGAAACAATCATGGAAATGGCTGATAAATACAACGGCCCCGAGTACGGGCGCTCCTTAAATGGAGCAGGGGTGCTAAGAATCTCCCGGTCAGCTAGAAACATGAACACATTTTCTAAAGAAAGAAAAATAGGTACATGGAATGTAAGAAGCATGTACGAACCAGGAAAAATTCATAACACCATTAAAGAAATGAAGCGTTTAAATATATATATATATAATAATAAATAAGTATCCTTGGAATAAGTGAAATGAGATGGCCGGGGTCTGGAAAAGTAACTGTAGATGATAACATTGTATACTATTCAGGAGAAGACAGCTCAAAACACAAAAATGGTGTAGCAATAATTGTGTCGAAGGAAACAGATGAAGCTGTAAAAAACGTCGTCCTATTCTCAGACAGGATACTGATGATACAAATACAATCAACAACAATCAATGTGAACATATTACAAGTATATGCACCCACACAAGACTATGAACAAGAAGAAATTGAAAAATTCTATCATGATTTAGAAAAAGTATTAGCACCTACAAAGAAACACGATCTCAATATTATCATGGGAGATTTTAATGCAAAGATTGGTGAAGGTGAACAGGAAGATGTCATAGGGAAATATGGTCTGGGAATACGAAATGAAAGAGGAGATATGTTGGCATCTTTTTGCGTAGAAAAGCAATTAGTAATAATGAACACAATTTTCAAACTTCCAAAACGTCGTCTTTACACCTGAAAATCACCAGCAGATACACCTGAACGAGTTATTCGTAACCAAATAGACTTCATATGTATAAATAAGAGATACAGAAATTCAGTATTATCAGTAAAAACATATCCAGGAGCAGATGTACCAACCGATCATAATATTTTAGTAGGAAAAATAAGACTGAGATTAAAAAGAGTTGCAAGGACGAATAAGCAAACAGTTACTATTGATAGAGAAACGATGCTAAATGATACTGTAAAACAAGAAATAACTAGTATATTAGAACAAAAGATGAAGTTAACAGAAAACAAAGAAGAAAGTACTGAGGAAAACTGGACGAGAATTAAAGAGATCTTAAAGACTGTTCAAGAAACAAAATTGAGTGCGCTAAAAGCAAGAAAAAAACAAGGGTGGATGACAGAAGAAATACTGAGACTTATGGATCAAAGAAGAGAAGTCAGAAATAAAGATAAAAACGAATACAAGAGGATCCACGCAATAATCAGGCAGAAGATAAGACACGCGAAAACACAATTTCATAGTAAAGAATGTAATGAAATTCAACAATATGAAAAGAAACACGATACATTTCATCTTCACAAGAAATTGAAAGAGGTCGCTGGAAACAAATGGAAACAAGTATCCCAAAGTTTAGAAGACAGAAACGGACACAGAATATTAGACATCAATGAAAAGTTAAAAGAATGGGAAAACTACATTTCTGAATTATTTGAAGATGAGAGAGTAGAACACTATACACCGATTGCTATATCAGGTCCATCTATAACAGAAAGTGAGGTAAGACGTTCAATACAAACGGCAAAAAATGGAAAAGCACTTGGCCCCGATGAAGTAAGTGCTGAAATACTAAAGTTTTTGGGATAAAATGGAATTAAAGCTCTGTGTAATCTCTTTAACAGAATTTATGACACTGGCATATTACCAACTGATTGGTTAAAGTCGACATTTGTCACAATACCTAAGAAACATCGTCCAAAGACATGCGGTGATTATCGGACAATAAGTCTGATGAGTCACGTTTTGAAAATCTTTCTGCGAGTAATACACAGCAGAATTTATACGCTGTTAGAGGACAGAATTAGCAATGCTCAATTTGGGTTTAGGAGTGGCTTGGGTACAAGAGAAGCCTTGTTTAGTATACAGGTGCTAGTACAGAGATGCAGAGATATAAATCAAAATGTGTATATTTGTGCAATCGATTTTGAAAAAGCTTTTGACAAAGTCCGACATAACCAAATGCTAGAAATATTGGAAACAGCTGGATTGGACGATAAAGATCTACGAATAATTACAAATCTATACTGGCATCAAGTGGCAAGAATAAAGGTTGAACAAGAACTGTCGGATGAAATAAATATAAAAAGAGGAGTGAGACAAGGCTGTATATTGTCGCCTTTACTTTTTAACTTATATTCGGAGGAAATATTTAAGGAAGCCTTAATGGAGACAACCGAAGGTATTATTGTGAATGGAGTAACCGTCAACAATATTAGATATGCCGACGATACCTTAGTCCTTGCCAATTGCGGAGAAGACCTTCAAAATCTAATGAACAAAATAAAACAGACTTGTGATCAGTATGGACTAAAACTCAACGTTAAGAAAACTAAATATATGATAGTTAGCAAACAAAATTATATACATGATGACGGTATAAAAGTCGGAGATGCCACACTGGACAGAGTAGAGAAACTCGTGTATCTCGGCAGTAATATCAATGAGAGCTGGGATCCAACCGCAGAAATTAAAAGCCGAATAGAACAAGCCCGAGCTGCCTTTGTAAAAATGAGAAACGTACTTTGCAGTCATGATCTTAGCATTGACCTTAGAGTTCGTATGATATCTTGCTACATCTTTCCTGTCCTGCTGTATGGAGTAGAAGCGTGGACCCTAACTGAGGCTATGCTTAAACGCTTGACAGCCTTTGAGATGTGGGTATACAGACGACTACTGAAAATAAGCTGGGTCGACAGAGTTAGAAATGAGGAGGTCCTTAGACGGCTGAACCAAACAACACAACTGGTCAATATAATAAAGAAACGCAAGCTGGAATACTTCGGTCATATTATGAGACACCCTGAAAAATATGATCTTTTACATCTGATCATTCAGGGAAAGATCCAAGGTAATCGTGGTCCTGGTAGAAGAAGAACATCATGGCTGAAAAATCTAAGGCAATGGTATGGAAAATCAACTACATCGTTATTTAGAGCTGCTGTCAATAAAGTCACGATAGCGAATATGGTAGCCAACATGATATCCAACGATCGATAACGGTCATGGAACTAGAAGAAGAAGATATGCATATAAATAAGTACAAATAGATACAAACACGATTCAACTTCCAAATACAAAAGACTAAAAAATAAATAAAAAAAAAATTAAACAAATAAAAAACAAATTAGAAAAATGCAAAAATTACGAACATTCAAATATAATACATTCCATAAGGTATTTATAATATAAATACAACAGATTCGCTCCGAGGGTTAACCAAGTGTCAAAGCAAAATCGACTAACCTGCTAAATTGCTCATGGTGGCGATTGCTTGAAATTTTATCAGGACGCTTTTGTGCATGGTACAATGAACATATTCATTGTACCATAGATGTTGATCATTGGTTGATCATGTATATATATATAACCTCACTTTCGTAGATTATGTTAATAAATCTTTATTAACGACAAAAAATATTTTTGTTGAACTATAAATGTTACTATAAATAGATAACTAATTAATTCTAAAAATTGTATCCGGATATTAACACTACAAAATAAAATATTTAAGTTTAACAAAATAATCCCATAAGACTCAATACTAAAACGTCCTCACAAATCTGACAGCGTGTCACGTGACTGTAAATAGAAGGGAGACCCACAGAGCGAATACCTAATTGGATAACATAATCTGCAGTCATAAATTTGATTATAAACACAACGAATTTAATTTTGATTAAAAACTTACCTCCAAAGTATTATCTAGATCAACAAATTCTATAAAATAATCTTGTAATCCATACGCATCGATTCTATAGAGGTTTAGTTTATTAAAATCTGTTTCTTCTTTATCCAATGCTTTCAATTGAAAAAGTTCCGTCGTATCGTTGAATATGTCATAACGAGCCTCATTTATCTTTACGTTAGTAAAAGCAACTATGTAAGGATCTTTAAAATTCTGTATCTGTTTCCTGCCACCATTCTGCCAAAATTCTATAACTGCAATTGTTGTGTCGATCTTTAGTTTGTTTAACGGATATACTGGATCAATTTTACATGTACAAAGCTAAAAATCAATGCTCAAAGTCATCATACAATTTAAAATCTAATATTACTACTGTTTTAACCTAAAACTTATCTCAAATCCGCGATATACAAACTCAGATTTATTATGCACCAAAACAAAGGAGACAGAAAACGGAAGTTTTCATAAAAATGAGTTTAATCAAAGCCACCCATACTTCACAAGTTGTACTATTAGAATTAGCAAAACAAACAACTATGTAGAGCTATTAGGTATGTGTCCGTAGTTCTCTGGGTAGGTACTCATCTTTAGACAAGGAAAGAGACGCGTAATCGTATGGAACCAGCACCAAAAAAGTTGCCAGGTCATATTTTATTTTTTCAGTAGATTAAGAATAATGGATATACAGTCAAAATCGTTTATAACTAACTTCAGGGGACTGGCGGTTTTTGTACGTTGTAGCCAGTGTTCTCTAAGCGGTTCTATCGGTTATAATGAACAGGTTGTTATAAACGATATTACACTGGTAGGAACAGTTAGTTCGTTGTACCTAGGTTTATGACGCGAAAATGTGTTACTTTATCTATACTTATATGTTATAATAACATATTATACATAACATTTAACATATGTGTTTATTGTACTTACGTAAATCTAAATATGTACATACATATATGTATAATATGTATTAAAATAAGTATAAGTAGTCAATAAAGTACACTCATATTATAACGGCTTCTCAAAATCTTTGTATTCTAAAAATGTAGGCATACATATACTATTTATGTTTAAAAAGCCGACGAAAAATACATACATTTATGTATTACAAAATATGTGAATACAACATTTTACCTGAATATTTAATGAAAAAAGTCTGTAATTTTTTGTTTGTCGCCTTCCTTAAACTTCTGAATAAAACATTTTTTCAATTGATGTGAAAACAATCGATAATGATTCTTTCACACTCTGGGAAGTTTCAGCAGTCTGAATAAATGCTCTTATGGTGGAACAAGCAGAATAAGCTTCAGCAACAGTAGAGATTTTGCCGAAATCTTCCAATTGTTTATCAGCCTTATCAGTACTTTGTTTGTTACTAGTTTGTTGACTTAGTACGATGTCAATATCTGACAGTTCTTCGCTCGTACTTATTTTGTCATACATTCGTACATAGTCATCTGCAGAGCAGTTAGAACTGAGAAAGAAGACGGCATCCTACAAATGCGTTGTTGATGGTTGTAAGTCGTTAGTTAGGCCGGAAAAACGAAAACAGTTGAATATCGTTTCCTTCCACACAGATTCCATTGCCTTTGATATCATTAGTATAGCGTCAAGAATACTATCTTTCGTATCGTTGTTATTCTCTCTCTTTTCGATGAGAGAGACGTATAACTTCTTGGTTCATGGGCTGCAGTACGGACGTATAATTTGGAGGCAGAAAAACGAGTTTTTCCAATTTTGTTTTAACCTGTCAAAGGAGTGATGGGACGGACAGCTGTCGACAATTAAAATTATTCAATATAAGGTTGAATGTTCGAATAATTAAACTTTGATAGTATACAAGGCAACTATCGAACACAGTGTGTAATTAAATCTTGCCCAAGTACTTTCGATCAATAGATCATCTTCAGGGGCATTTCGTCAGTTGTGGGCTATCCGACATGAGTAGAATGTCATAAAAGTAAAATTGGACATAACAATACAATACACAAAGACAAACAAACACTTTAAAATTTTTAAGGAGAAGCTACATGTTATACAGAAATTCATTCTGTCTCCGGTTTCTGTATAACATGTAGCTTCTCCTTAAAAATTTTAAAGTGTTTGTTTGTCTTTGTGTATTGTATTGTTATGTCCAATTTTACTTTTATGACATTCTGCTCATGTCGAATAGCCCACAACTGACGAAATGTCCCTGAAGATCATCTATTGATCGAAAGTACTTGGGCAAGATTTAATTAATCACTGTGTTCGATAGTTGCCTTGTATACTATCAAAGTTTAATTAAAATTATGTGCTTCATTTGTTTTAAAAGTTCACTGTCCTGTTTTATTAAAATCTTTTCAAAAATAGCCGTCATCCAGGCTTTTTTATTGAAATCGTATCAACAGGGAGATTGTTCACGTTTTTAAAACAGCGCGGCATTTTACTTTTTCCTATCACCAAAAGCTTCCTTTTTATGGAACCGGACTGTTGACTGCAACAAGAACCGAAACTCGCTCTTTTGAGAGTTTACCACCGGAACATTTCTCCCCTTTAAACTTTAACGTGTGATCAGGTGTCAGTCTAAAAAATAACCCCATCTCGTCAGCATTAAAAATTTCATCATCGCTATAACCGGACCTGAGTGTAGGCCACACATTTTCAACCCAGTCTTGATCTGTCAATAACTGCTGACTCACCTGAAATTTTTTCATGGATAATATTGTGGCGAGCTCGGAAAGGTTGAACCCAGGAAGCATTACACTTAAAATTCTTCTTCAAAATCACAGCGAATGCGTTAGCCTTTACCTGAAGCATCGGCCCACTCTCGGATACATTGTCTTAACCAATCGAGCAAAGCACTTTCAATGTCACTGTGATTTGATGACCGGACGCGTTTTCCTTTTTCACACTTATTAAATTGCATAATAATTTTCTCTCGCCGTTTCATCGTTCCAGCAATTGTTGAGCGTGATGTTTTAAATTCCCGGGCAATCGAACTCGCGGAATCACCGGAATCGACTCGGCAAATTATTCCAAACTGTTACTGTTTGGAATAATTTGCTAAAATAGTAAACTGTTTCCGTGGCATGTTTTCTATGAAGGCTAGACACAACTGAATTCCAATTCAGAAACTCTTGACTTGGGCCAAATGGTGTAATATAAACAAAATTTTGTAATACAATTGACCCGTCTTGGGAGGTCTAAATGTCTAAAGGACAAGTAATCAAGTGTAGATGCCTGCCCGGATGTACTATAACCATAAATTAATAAATCCTTACTTCTCATTTCGTTTTACTAAATATCGGTAATACCTGTGAGAAGTACAACCAAAGAATATGTCTATATTCTTTGGTACAACACTACAATGTCCATTTTCATACCTTTACAGGATAGCACTTTTAAACTTATTTATTAAGATGTGGAAACAATATTATAGTGAACATTGTATCATCATGCTGTCATTTACATCATGCGTTGTCCATAATTATTTATTATTTATTTATTATACAGTGTGTAAAAATGTGATAATTGAAAAAAATGGATATTGTATCATCTGAGGTACAGATATGTACTTGAAATTGTACGCTGTAACCAATATTCTAACTGCTATTGTTGCCAAGAAATACGTTTGCTCTAACCGATTTGTTCATTATAAGCAATATAAATGCGTTTTTTGTATGTAATTTTATGGGACCTACTATTTGGTTCGTTATATCCGAATGTACTTTATAGCCGGTGTCGTAGTAAACGATTTTGACTGTATATCAATAAACAGATTTTTTTAATTAATAATTGAGCACTGACATAATGATCACTTTTTGAATATGCTTTTATCGTTACATATTTTTTAGTAGATCGATATAGTGTTTCAGTGAATCAGTAAATTGAAGTTGAAATCAGTAGATATACTGACAAATCAGTAGACCTGGTAACTCTGCGAGAGGTAATAATGGGTAATGTACAGTCACAAAACGTGGCGGTCGCATCAAAACTGGCTACACTTTTCAAATGTTTATTAAATGAACGTTACCTGTTCTCTCTTTTTCCTTGTCTAAGTACTCATCTATGATTCCGATACGTGACAGATCTACTTTAGAGATGGATCCCTGCCTACGAGTCTACGAGGCTTGGTTTATCTCCTAATACCAGAACGGGAAACCATCAGAGTATATACCCCCTAGTAAGGTAACTCACATATAAAGTTTTGGGAGAGAGTTTATAGCGCCAAATACGAACGGGCCGAAACTTATTTCATTTGGCGGCAAATTCAAAACGTAGATTCTGAATTTTAGGTGGCAAATTCAAAAGCTATACTCTAATAATTTTAGGCGCCAAAATTCAAAAAGTATGTTTTTAATGGAAAGTAAATATAGTCATAAAATAAGAAATAAAAACTTATTTTATGCCAGAAAATATATTCTCTTTATCCAAAAATATAGTATACACCTACACATTTATATATATATATATATATATATATATATATATATATATATATATATATATATATATATATATATTTATATATATATATTTATATATATATATATATATATATATATATATATATATATATATATATATATATATATATATATATATATAATGAAGTTTTATTTTAAGGTAGCAGTCATTTAAGTAGGGTAGGATAAGTTAAACTCTTTGTTCTTAAATCAAGCTTTCGCAAAATTTATTTGCTTCATCAGGATATGCTATAACATGTTATGGTAAATACAATGAAATTAGAATTAAAAAACATTGTATAAAACTAATATAAAAACTTACAACATGAGGTTAAACCATTAAATTATTAAATTCACAAAACATTCTTAACTTATCTAAATTATACTTTTATGTAAGTACAATATTTTAATTTTGAATATATTATGACATTGATTATTATAATGATGTTTGATTTATGTCAAAAAGACACTCGTGTCTGTTTTTGTTATTGATAACTAGCTCTAGATTGTTATTATGCTTATGTACAAAGTGGCGCCAAATATTGAATATTTAAATTTTTGAAAATATAGTATTTATAGTCAGAAAATCATATATTAGAAAATTAAAGTATTAATTTTCGTAAGATAGAATGTAATTATAGATATAGCTTAGTTTGTTAATATCAGTTTTTTTATTAACGCATTGATATTTATTTATGTGATGTTAGTCTACCTATTAGATTTCTAGATGTGTGTCCGATGTATGACTTATCACAATTTTGGCATGGTATTCTATAAACTACATTTGAGCTTTTTAGTTGAAACTTTAATATAAGAATAATTAGCAAAGACTTAAGTTAATTTGGGTGTTAATGTTGGTATGTAAGTTAGTGATGT